CGTCACGCTACGCTACTGTACGTTCTCTTGGACTTCCACTCGTACTTCATGCTACACCAGTGTACGTTCTCATGGACTTCTATACATACCTCATGCTACGCTAGTGTACGTTTTCTTGGACTTCCATGCGTACGTCATGCTGCGCTACTATACGTTCTCTTGAACTTCCACGCATACGTCATGCTACGCTACTGTACGTTCTCTTAGACTTCCGCGCATACGTCATGCTATGCTACTGTACGTTCTCTTGGACTTCCACGCATACGTCATGCTACGCTACTGTACGTTCTCTTGGACTTCCATGCGTGCGTTATCTTAGGTTCTGAATGAAGTGGGCGTTGCGTTCATACCTCCATGATGATCCAGAAGATGAAAGACATGATGATGACGATGACGATGACGATGACGACGATGATGATGACGATGACGATGATGATGATGATGATGATGAAGATGAAGTAGATGATGACGGCTGAAAAATTGTGAAAACCAATTAGTTGGGGGCTTTGAAGACAACCCCAAAATGGAGGTTTCGTGTAGGCGAAATGACTGTTTTCACTCTTCTGCTTGGAGCTACGGCGTTCACGGCATTTACACTAAAATCACACGAATTCCTATTGGCACGAGCGCATCAAACATGATCAACAACATCCCATGAATCAAAAACACACACGGCCATCTAAAGGCCGTGCTCCTAGATAGTTTCTCAACTGAAAAGATATGTGTTGGCCCCATGGTTGCGAGTGGCACCGCCTGCAGCTGAAAATCCAGGCTCGGCTTAAGCGCTTCGCCGCGCTTGGGAGCAGGTTGAGGCACCTGCCACAAACGAAGCTCGGTTGCTTTTTAAACGCATTAGGTACAAGTCGTGTGGACATTTCACCAGCATAAAATGGATAAACATTAGCCGCATTACCAGCAAAACTGAAGGATTTCGTCAATGAAAATTGACATTTTACACACAACACAGGTGGCTTGAAGAAGAAGGGTTTGACCAGCACAAATGGGCTCTTGCAGTGTGCGCAACTTGTGCAACAGACCGTGTCAACTCTCATAACAGGAATAAATAGGGCCTGAACCCCTCGGAAAGCAGGGGACTCTGGCGATAACCTGGCAGAAGCGGAGGCGTCTCTTTGATCAAAACAGATGCTAGACCTGGGATGCCCAAAGCCCGAAATCATTAAACAAAAGTCAAATCGGTCCTCTAGTCTGCAATCTTGGTGCCATTATAAAGTTGGACCTCCTTTAGTTTCATTCTGACCTTAAATGCAAGTTGCTCAATCTGGGTTGGACCTAAGGCCTAAGGCTGCTAAAACCGTGTGTGAATTGTCATTTTTGTCTGGGAGATTGTCTGGCACAGGCGCTTTACCATGAGGACATACACGACATATGGGAATGATATATATATATATAAATATATATATATATATTTATCTATAAATATAAGGCAAATGCCTGGGCTTTGCCCGAAACCGCAACCACGACAGGCAACGCATCATCATCATCATCATCATCACCATCATCATCATCATCACCATCATCATCACCATCATCATCACAATCACCAAAATACTCATCATCATCGCCATCGCCATCATCATCATCATCATCATCATCGTCGTGATCATCAAACCCTGGTGGAAGATCTTCAAGGAATGTAGAAGTTCAACGGGGGTGGGAGAATTAAACCCTTATTGAAGATCTTCAGTGAATGTAGAAGTTCAACGGGGGTGGGAGAATCAAGCCATTATTGAAAATCTTCAATGAATGTAGAAGTTCAACGGGGGTGGGAGTATCAAGCCATTATTGAAAATCTTCAATGAATGTAGAAGTTTAACGGGGGTGGGAGAATCAAGCCATTATTGAAAATCTTCAATGAATGTAGTTCAACGGGGGTGGGAGAATTAAACCCTTATAGAAGATCTTCCATGAATGTAGAAGTTCAACGGGGGTGGGGGAATCAAACCCTTATTGAAGATCTTCAATGAATGTAGAAGTTTAACGGGGTGGGAGAATTAAACCCCTATTGCAGACCTTCCATGAATGTAGAAGTTCAACGGGGGTGGGAGAATTAAACCCTTATAGAAGATCTTCCATGAATGTAGAAGTTCAACGAGGGTGGGAGAATTAAACCCTTATTGAATTTCTTCAATGAATGCAGAAATTTAACGGGGGTGGGAGAAGTAAACCCTTATTGAAGTCTTCAGTGAATGAACGGGGGTGGGAGTAGTAAACTCTTATCGAAGATCTTCAATAAAGGTAAAGTGTAACGGGGGTGGGATTTTAATATTCCATAATACCTTAGTTGATCTTCCCAATTAAATGTAAAGAGTAACGGGGGTGGGATTTTAATATTCCCTAATGCCTTTGTTGATCTTCCCAATTAAGTTTAATGTGTACCGGGGGTGGGATTTTAATATTCCCTAATACCTTTGTTGATCTTCCCAATTGAATGTAGAGTTTAACAGGGGTGGGATTTTAATATTCCCTAATACCTTTGTTGATCTTCCCAATGGAATGCAGAGTTGCAACAACATTTGTTGGGAATGGGGACCCTCTACGTTGCAATGCCTGGGCAAAGCCCAGGCGTTGCGCGTAATTATATATATACATACACACACACACACATATATATATTTTCCTGTCTGCATCTTTCATTGTTGCGATACCCTTCTGGGAACTTTGAAATATCAATGCGCGGTGACTGCACTGCGGTTTTTTTTGCCACCACTGCACTTCTGTCTGGACATGTTTTGCCTCAGTGCCCCTTGGCATAGGTAGGCATCAGATCCAAAAGGAAAAAGGGGGAAACATTTCTGGCCATCGCGCGCTGTGCTAAAGAGCTGATTTCACCTTCCACCCAAGGGCGGGTAGGGTGCGCAGCGGGCCAATTCAATTTGACATGCCATCTCACTTCTTCAAGGTGGACAGCAAAACATGATTGCATGCAAACAACTATTTCCTGTCTGCATCTTTCATTGTTGCGATACCCTTCTGGGAACTCTGAAATGTCAATGCGCGGTGACTGCACTGCGGTTTATTTTGCCACCACTGCACTTCTGTCTGGACATGTTTTGCCTCAGTGCCCCTTGGCATAGGTAGGCATCAGATCCAAAAGGAAAAAGGGGGAAACATTTCTGGCCATCGCGCGCTGTGCTAAAGAGCTGATTTCACCTTCCACCCGTCTTTCCGCACACTCGGACGAGCTCTCATATGTGTTGAAGCTGAAAGAGTTTAAACACCAACCTTTCAAGATTGTCAAAAGAGCCTTGTGTCACCTGACGCTGAGAAGCTATCTCAACATCTGCTGCCAGAATTGCTGTCTGCAAATGCCATACAAACGGAATAACCTGACACCACTGAGCCCAACGGACTCTATCAGCTGCTGACACCACTGTCGAAGCTCGCAGGACTGCTACTTCCCCCTTGCGGATGTATTCACGAGCCGACCTATCGGATAACCAGCGACCAAAAAGCATGATATCAGAAAATGGAACATTGCGTCGAGCTAATTCACTGGCGCCAGAGCGTCGAAAGGAATGAGTGGTCAGTTGAATGGATTCCGCCCCCAACAACGCGGATAACCGCTTCACCCATCGCAGAACTGATGCATAAGACATGGAGAAAATACGAGCGTCTGGTGCTTCAGGAGTGACCAACGCCAGAAATCGAGACATCCAGGTTACCACTATTGTATTGGTTAACACCACCTTTTGCTCCATGCCTCTTTTTGTACGCGCCAAACACAGGACCAACGAACCACCAGAGAAGAATACATCCTTGAAGGTCAATTGCAAACTTTCACCAACTCGCAGCAGAGCAGAGTAACATAGGCAAATCACCATGGCCAACTCAGCCCTGCCTATAGCAAAAGAAGCAACCATCATAGCGGTAATCAACTCAGGTGGCGCCGCTGGCGCTTGCTGCGGAGGCTGCAAAACCCCCCACGTGTCATAAACTTTCCATGCTGTTTTATAACGAACCCTTGGATTCAACCGCCCTAATGCACTTAAAAGGGAACCAAAATCAGACCGACTAAGCCCCTCCTCGTATCCCTCAACCAGCCATTCGCTAAGAAAGAGATCCTGCTCTGCCTCATCCATGTCATACCATCGCAGATCTCTGGAAGCCAGCTCACGATTGAGGAGCTGCAAGCCGTGTTGATATCTGACTTGAGTTGCACCTTTCAAGGCACTGAGCAAGAAAGCTTCTACTCGGCTCTGGCCAGGGCCATAACGTGCGGAGTGAACCACACCAAGGATCGCAGCTAAGATCATCATTGCGCGGCGCCATGGGTGAAAAAGGCATATCATAACCATGTTGTTGCGCATACAAAACCCGCCCCACACACAAACGTGCCAATGCTTCACAAAATGAAGATGGATATTTGGCTGTCGCGGTGGTGCGAGAACACTGCTGCTTGGTATCCCAACCAACTAAAGGCAAATGGCAAACATGGTTACAATGTTGCACAATAGCGTCACATCCTGATGGCAACAACAACCCTGTGGGTTTACGAGACTGAGCACCGAAACGGCACTGATGGGTGACATAATACTGGAGTCTGGCCTTGCTTTTCAAGAGTTCGACTTCAGGTGAATGAAACACTGATGGCTTGGGTTCGACCTCCGGATCTGCAGGGTGCCCAAAACCAGTCCATCCACCCTTCATCCGCAGCTCACCCAACATACCAAAACAAATCCATGTCAAACACGTACCCACCAACACTTGCTGCTGCTGTCTTTCATGACGACCCTCGATGCACAACCAAGGACTGCTCCGAGTTCTCAGCGGTACTGGGCCTCTTTTTGTACGGCTCAGTCGTCGATGCCGTGCTGCCGAAAACGTGGAACATGGTGGTGATGCAAACATACCCAGAACACGTCCATGTTGAACCAGCTGCAACAACCACAAGCTACCCTCAGTCTCTAGCAGATCATTACACTGGAAATGCCATTGATGACTGCTCATTGGGGCTAAGGGATCGATTCGCAACCCATGCACCAACATACCATGTTCCAAAAACAACTCCTCTACGCATTGCACCAAGTCTCGCTCACGCTTCCCACCTGAGCAGAGATGAACAAAGAATCGCTCATTGCCCGACCAATCTCGCAATGTGAAGGGATCAACAAAAATATCTTTGCTCTTCTGCTCCAACATCTGTTGAAAATGTTTGTCCAGGGGTTCTTGCCTTGCCTCTGTCTCAAACTTTCTGGAAGGTCTATCAGCAGGGTTGTCAGCACTAGGAATCCAAGGGTAGAAAACTTCATGACCCCCAGCAACCGCTATTGAACATAACTTTTGGCACCGGCAGTTCAACAAACGACTCGCTGACCTACCCTTGCAAAATGCCCCAACGCATGATGCTGAATCCATAGGGTGAAGGAATCTAGCCCCATCATCACCAGGACGTCTCAACCTATCCTCCGCCACCCATGTGGCTGCATCGGCCTCGCCCAAGAAGATCCACTTCGGCGCTGCTGGTGCACCGGCCTCACGCCAATGGAAGCGTTTGACAGGAAGCTTCAACTTCTTGAGGGGACATTGGTCGGCATCATCCAATACTATGCCATGCGGAAGACTAAGATTGGTGTAGAGCCCAGGGTGCTCACTAAGTCGCGCCATTTCATGTACAAGCGCTTCCGGCATGTTCGTCCAAGCCCTTCCTACACCAGACATGCTTGCATCACTACATTCAACCCTACTTGAGAACTTTGAGGACATGTCGAACTGCGCATAAGGTAACAACATGGCCGCAAACATCAACTCAATCCAGATGTTGTCAGGGATTCGGGTCATACGCACCTGGTCTCGACGCAGTTGGTCAAGCCACTGATACACCTCCACAAAAATGGATCGCAATGGGGGTCTGCAGGAATGAACATAGCCATACTTACCCACCAACCGCTCCATGTCACCAATCAAAACTTTATGTTGTGAAAGCAAATAAAACGTGGCTTGCAACAAATGAGACCGCTTCGGCAAACTGACTCCAACCCAATGTTGCTCTGGATGAACAAAATAACCTTGCACTCCAGCTCCATGTTGTATGTCTACGGTCTTCTTGACATTGGGATCAACTCCTCTCTCTTTCCACGCCTCCTCGGCACGAGTGAGCCATAGAGGTCCCACTGTAGACGCTTGGTCACCGGCCTTGGCATTGTCAATGGCCCAAATGTCATCACAAATGGACCCCCAGATGGGAAAATCTCGTGGGGCCAATTCATCAGGATGTAAACGGCATTCAAGATCTAACCCAGCTGCTGTAGTAGTTACGTCAGTCAAAGCCTGAGCCCAACCTGCACTTGGTCCAAAACCCATGGGGGCCGATCGACAAGCTGGGTGCCGGACGTGACCTGACAAAGTAACAATGGGTGGTCCACACAACCACTTGTGCCATTTCCTGCCAATTCGAAGGGAATGGAAATAATGCCTCGCATCACGTTTAGACACTACTAAAACTCCTGGCTTGTATGAACGCGTTGCCCTAAGCTTGGGAATATACGCAAACCGGGGTCTTGGTAGCTTGTCTGGATCCAACAATTGGTTAACAGCTGGATCTGTGATGACTCTGTCCTCATCCTCATCCTTGGGAACTGCAAACGCGCTAAACATAGCTTGCCCCTGTGCTTAGCAACCTGTGATGGTTTCTTCAGCACGTGAAGACCAGCCTTGACATTTCGCTTGACCAGTTCGGGATAAGTGCGATTAACCCATGTATGCCCAGGCTTGACGCGACCAGGACGCTTGTTGGGCAGCAAGGGCAAGGCTTTGGGCTCCTCCACCTGCCTGGCCAAATGTGGAAAAGAACCCTGAAGTTCCTCAGAAAGATTCACAGTGGCTGCCGTGGCTGGCACTCCTCCACGACTGCCCAGTGACATTGCTACTCCTCCTTCAGCATAATGCTGCTGATGCTTCAAAAACTCCTGAATCTCTAAAGGACCCAGCAATGCCCCATCCACCATCATGGAATGGAGCTCACGCTCCAACCGAGCATGGACCCGTCTGTGGGCTGCAGTCAACACTGTGGCTGAATTATGACTACCCCCGTGAAGCTCATTCAACACTGCCTGCACCAAGTTGACACCCCTTGCTATGGCAGAATCATCCTCATCATCCAGGTTACCCATACGATAACGAACTACTCGGCCATCTGTACAAAAAGGAGGCAAAGGGAAAACATGAGTTGGACTTTCACCGACTGATCCATCATGGAAAAATTTGGATGTGAATTCGCAAGCCCTCTGCAACGCCGCCTGCGCCACACCAAGCTGCCAGAGCCTCCTCCCAAAAGAGAAGACACTGCCACCATGTGCGAACAAGCCTTCCAGAGACGCAAAGATCATGCAGAAGTAGGACCCCATAGTTGTAGGTTCACCCCCATGGGCGAGCTTCCACCGCTTCAGGGCCCTCCTAAGCTTGAAGCCTAGTTGGTCAAAGCCGGCATTGAGCTGCTGGCCAAGCTGTTGCCTGACGGAATGAGTTCGATCGCCTCCGCCTTGTCCCATGAACCCCCTTTCCTCTTCGCCTGCTGCACTGCAAGGATCCTTTGAGCAAGGATGTCCATCGCCCGAGCTATCTCTCTTCGGTTGATGGAATCCATGGCTTCGGCCAAGGTCAGAACTTCTCGAATGTCTCTGATTTCCGTCAAGCCCGCATGCTGAGTTGCCCATGACACCACTGATGCTTCGCGAAGCTGCGAAGTCTTGGTCACCCGGCCCTTGGAGAGCCTGGCAAACACCGAAGCGAGGAAATGTCCGGATAGAGCTCCTGGATGCTTGGTGGCGTAAGCCAACAATTCTCCCTTCTTCTTGAAGCGCTGCATGTCCAGAGCATGAACTTCGTTGTAATCCACTGACCTCGACTTTGCCTTGTGTCCCCATCTGATGGGGGCATTTGAACTTCTGGATGAACTGCTGGCGCTGCTCGAGCGACTTGAGCGGGACCTGCTGCCACTCGAGCTGGTGTCCAAGTCTTTGGATCTCTTTTTCTTCTTCTTCTTGGACGACCGCTTCTTGTCTTTCTTTCTCCTCTTTGCAGAGTGGTCCCGCTTGGAACCGCTCTTGCGAGCCATCTCCTTCAACTTGTTCACCACATCTGACAGGCTCTGCATGTTGAAGGCATCTCCTGGTGAGCCTCCGTTGCTTGGCCCCAAGCCCCCGGCAACCGCGGGTCTGGCCACTGCCATACCCCCTCCTCCTGCGACGGCCTGAGGCTGCAAGTCCAACGCTATCAAATCCATGCCCGTTCCAGGGTGAGTGACCTTTGACTCCGGCACGCCTTCTCGGCTCAATTGCAGTCCAACCATCTGTCCCTCTCTCTTCAAAGCATCCGCCTCGTCGGCTGTGGGGCTCCACTTCTGATGGAGATTCGTTGGTTGGCATATCCAATTCACTATGGCATTGTTGATTCCAGCTGGAGGTCCTCTCCCTACTCCGGCTCCTACTGGCGCTCGCATGCTGCCTACGTTCACTCTCACAACTGACCATTGCCACGAAGTGCCGTCACCACTGGTGGTTCTCACTAACAGGTCTGAAGAATTGGGGACCACACAAGCCGCCCACACTTCGTCCCATTCACCTGCCCGTTCAAGCAACAGGAAACCTTCCAAGGCCGGGCCCGCCATAAGACAGGTTAGCTCCCTGTGGTCTGCTCTTACAGGTGGTGCTTCCAATGGCGCCAGGGCTTGTGAATCAGCAGGCTTGCACAACCAATGGAACCAATAAAGGAGGTTTGTGATGATGTGGCAGAAAATCTTAAGCAGGGCAATCAGTTCTGATCGAAGCTCAATCACCAGATAAAAACTCAGCAGATAAAAGGGACCCCACCAATCCGTGGGAATCCGATAAATCCCCTCGCTCACCAGTGAATCACCCAGAAATGTCACTAATTGCCCAACAGATTGCCTGGCCACCTCTCGCACGGTCCACCTCCACACCCCAGCTAGAGACAATCCAGTCAATATGGCTATCCCACTGCGGTGTTCTACAAGGCTCATGACATTCTTGAGCCAATTCGATTTGACATGCCATCTCACTTCTTCAAGGTGGACAGCAAAACATGATTGCATGCAAACAACTAAAATATTCTAAGTACATTTTCGGCAAATTTGCCTGTGCAATCCAAAAAATCATATTCTATGTAAGCGGAGATGCTTATATTTCTATAATGATCTATTGACATATCTACATTTATACGAACACAAAGTTATCAATCAGCTGTGGAGACCTCCACACTTAGAACATCCCAGGACATTACAACATATATTCTATATTATATATATTGATAGAAATTTTTGAAAATGATCTATTGACATCACTATATTTATATGAACACAAAGTTATCAATCAGCTATGGAGACCCCCACACTTAGAACATCCCAAGACATTACAACATATACAAATACATTTATATGTTTAATGATCTATTGTTATAACTATTTTTATTTGAACACAAAGTTTTCAAACAGCTGTGGAGACCCCCACACTTAGAACATCCCAAGACATTAGATACAACATATTTATCTCTATCATGATCTATTGACATAACTATATTTACATGAACACAAAGTTATCAATCAGCTGTGGAGACCCCCACACTTAGAACATCCCAAGACACTACAACACACATATATATATGTATCTTAAATGATGTATTGACATAACTATATATATATTAGTACACAACGTTATCAATCAGCTGTGGAGACACCCACACTTGGAACATCCCAAGACATTAGATACAACATATACATATCTCTATCATGATCTATTGACATAACTATATTTATATGAACACAAAGTTATCAATCAGCTGTGGAGACCCCCACACTTAGAACATCCCAAGACATTACAACATATACATATACATATATATATATTATTTATAATGATCTATTGACATAACTATATTTATATGAACACAAAGTGATCAATCAGCTGTGGAGACTACCACACTTAGAACATCCCGAGACATTACAACAAACACACACATATATATATATAGACACCTTTAACGATCTACTGACATAACTCTATTTATTAATATGAACCCAAATTTATCAATCAGCTGTGGAGACCCGCACCCTTAGAACACCCCAAGGCATTACAACATGTATATATATATATATTTCTATAATGATCTATTTGACATAACTATATTTTGGTTGGCTAACAGTTTGATTGGGCGCAGACAGAAAAATAAACGTGACCGAACTCTTTGTTTGTGATGTTCTGTGTGGGGAGCCAGGGTTAGTTGCAAGGAGCCTCACACTTAGAACATCCATTTCCTGATGTTCTAACTGATTTGGATCATTAGTGTCCACCATGTTCTAAGTGTGGGGTTCCCTGATGTTCTAAGTGTGAGAGTCTAAAATTTTGGAAAAATTGACGTTCTAAGTGATTGTCCGTCACTATTCTAAAGTGCTGCAGCTTCTGGTTGGCACGTTTCGCCCAGCCCTGAAAAGTTCAGCCCGTTGCCAATGGTTGCGTTCACCAACCTTGTTTCTATGCAGCTTCAGCTCCATACCCTCCTTTCTATAGGGTTTGGTTGGCACGTTTCGCCCAGCCCTGAAACTGCTGGTTGGCACGTTTCGGCCAGCCCTGAAAAGCTGCAGCTTCAGCCCGTTGCCAAAGGTTGCGCAACTGCTGCAGCTTCAGGTGGCCAGGGTTCAAACTTTGCTAAGTGCACCAAGCTCGGTTCTTCATGGTCTCTAAAATGCTGGTTTCTATAGGGTCTCTACAATACTGCAGCTTCAGCTCCAAAACCTCCTTTCTTTAGGGTTTCGATACTGCTGGTTGGCACGTTTCGCCCAGCCCTGCAAAGCTTCGCTGCAGCTTCAGCCCGTTGCTGAGGGCTGCGAAACTGCTGCACCTTCAGCTCCGGGTGGCCAGGGTCCAAACTTTGCTAGGTTCACCAATCTCGTTTTTATGTGGTCTCTAAAATGATGGTTTCTAGATGGTCTCTGAAGTGCTGCAGCTTCAGCTCCAAAACCTCCATTCTATAGGGTTTCGAAACTGCTGGTTAGCACGTTTCGCCCAGCCCTGAGAGGTTGCCAGGAACTCTTGACACCAGCTTGCCCAAGGCTCAAAAATCACAAAACGCCTGCCCCTGTAACAGGGGGTCGGCGGCACCCGGGCGTTGGCCTTTTTATTATCCCACCATGAACAAGTGCCTCACTTCGACAGGCAAGAGCTGGAAAGATTCACCCGTCATCTCAGGGATACGGTTGGTTTCCTCTGCCCAAATTCGTATCCTTCAAGGAGAGCTGAAGCACTTTCGGCTCAGCCTCGAACTGCAGGAATGTGGCCAATATCTGCGGTTTAAATTGAACCCGACAAGTTAAATCACCTAACCACAGCCAAGTTCGGGATTTAATTTGCAAGACAGTGAACGGCTGCCAAGACGCTTGTTTTGACAGCACTTGAGACAAAGTAAGTCGGTACACACCCAAAATGAGGTAAGACAACATATGCATTAGAGGATGTCATAAGTGCATGGTTTTGCATGCAAACCAACAACTCCCACCTCATGTTATACATGCACATGTGCCCTATTTACAATTTCAGGGACCCAGGTGTCAGGCTAACACCTGGCCAATGTCGTTGGGCATTTCCACTGATCTACAACTACTTGGGCCTAAGGCAAAGCTGTTCCAAGGTTTGTCGCCATTATGCAGGTGAGATGATCTTTGTAAGTCCATTGGCGGCTTGTGTAGATGTTTCACAATACCTCAGAATGAAAACTTCTTGCTCCAGCGGACGCAACGTTGAACGATGCTCGCGGTCACAGTGTCGCAGTTCGCTGAGTAACCTGACTGTTCATTACCGCGATAGCAGCTTGATTGTCCTGCTCAAAGACAATTTGAACATGCGTCCCAACCAAACACTCAATCAGTATGCAGATTCAAAACTTCGCCAAATAGAGCGCTAGCACATGCTATTAGCTCTGCTTCTGTAGTTGATCTCGCAGTTGAACTCTGTTTCTTTTATGACCATAACAATGGGTATCGAGCGTTACCCGTTTTCAGGATGAACACAACTCCTGAAGTGCTCTTGGCCGTATGCGGGCACGAAGCAAAACCAGAATCTGTATATACAACCAGCTCTGGAGATTTGTTGGGGTCGACAGTCGCCTGGATCATGTGGTCAGCAATTGAGTGTACGTAGCTGATGAATCTGAGCATCTGTCTGTCTTCCCACAACGTCCAACGAGTTACTCTACTTGCAAGTCGTTGCACTGCAAAACTTAAGTCAAGTCTGGCCAAACGAGACAACCAAAGGCATCGCATGAGCACTTTGGCGGCATGGTTGTGTAAAACACCTTCATGCGCAAGCTCTCCTTCAAACATTTGAGACTCAGGAGGGCATGGAGTCTCGACCTTTCTCAATTTCTCTACGTGTTCCAGTGAGTTCGCAGTAGAAACTTACAATTCCCCTTGCATATGAACTCATGTCATAGGTCATTGGTACTTCTTTGGAGGTTCTTTGAATCATGTGTGTCCTCCCAAGGATCTTCGTTCCAGTTTCGGAGATAGATCTCCTGGTTCTACCTTGGCTCTCCGCTGAAGTTCTTTCCAGGATTCCTGTTGGATTTCTTTGGTACCCCCAGCTAGTGTCAAGTCGTCTACATAAACGTTCAGGATTAATGTCTGTTCATCATTCTTTCCCCGTCTGAAGACAAAGTTTGAAGGGTATGATTCTAAAGGAACTCCTTTCATTTCAATTAACTGCTTTTCAAGATGGGCTTGCCACAACTTTCCTGATTGTGGGTGATCATATAACGATTTGATCAGCTTTACTGCAAGGCGAGCGGAGGGATCATAAACCTTCTTCCATTCTTCCAACCACAACTCATATAGGGCAGTATCACCCAGGTGTTTCCTTCAAGGAGGCACTGAAGATAAGCTTGTATGCAAACTGCACAAGAAATCCTTGTCATGCACATGCACCCGAACCAAAGCGTGAGATTCAACGCTGCCAGCATTGTTGGAGCGGTAGCTGCTTTTAGCTTCGGTGAAGAAAACCTGTTGGCTGACTGGTCTTTGATCATGTCACCCCTGTATACAAGTCGCCGCTTATATTTAAGGAATTCAGGTGGTAATTCATGTCATGGTGTTTGATTCCTGCAAGTGTAAAGACTTCGGCAATCTTGATGTCCTCGCCTTGAGCACGAGCTCGCTTGAGCAGCAGGAACTACTGTCAAATCATCACAAGCTCTCAAACCTTCGGCTTCCGCTTTGATGGCTTTGATTGCCTTTTCATCTTTGGACCATTCCGACTTTGTCAGATTCAAGGTCACAAGTGCAGAGGAAGTGCTCAGATCTGGAACATGCTGAAACCACTCTTGAGGATACCATGCTTCGGCGATAACCGATGCAAACTGTCTTGTGTAGAATCCTGTCTGCTTGGTCTGACTACCCTCGGCAGGTTCATGCTGGTGCGAATGATCGCACTGATAGGCAGCCAGGATAGTAAGGCGGATTCGTTCATCACATGAAGACACGCACCATGGACTACGGACTGGGATACTTTACTTTACCATGAACACCCAACATGCACCCATCAAAGCAAACTCTTCTGAATGCATTTTCCTTTTCAAACTCTTTGACTTCATCTAGGTCCCACCATCCAGAATTTGCCGGCCATTCGATGGCAACACGACCACCTTCGGCTAAGATTTTCTTCATGAACCTCTTTGCTTGAGCGAGCATTTTCTTAGCCTGTTTTCTTCTCTTTTCCTGAAAACCCCATCCATGTCCATGCACATTCATGTGTTGCCATGGTGTGAAATCGGTACATGGGAGGCTGACCCAGGCATCTGCAGATTTGCGGTCATCAGCTGGAGTGATCAATTTGGAAACTTGTCCTTCATCCTGCAAATCAATCATATTACAGGATAACCTGATGCCTTCAACACCTATTTCATCACAAACTCCACCAATGGCCGAGTTTTCATCACATGCGTATAAAAAGAGGGTATTAGAACTTGATGATTGAT